TGTTGAACTCCATGAGGCTGGCAGATCCCCAAGATCCCCAAGTCCATGACAAAGGAAGAAATGGGATCACTCCTTTTGGAAGCAGGCCTGTTAGGTAAAACTACACCCTGTGCCAGACATGGATGGAAGACAAACACTTATTTTGCAAAACTGAATGCTTGCTCTCACAGTCTGCGTTATGGCCTATTAGCTATACAGAGACAGGTAAAGAAATGTGGAAGTGTAACTTTCCTCTTCCCTACAATTCAGAGACCCTCATTCCTCCTCAATCTCTACTTCATTCCTTTCCAACAGAAGCAATTCTTTATTCAGGAAAGGCTAACATTTGGCTATAGTCTAGGTTTTGCCATCATTCACATCTTGGGGGTTTCAAAAACATATCAAACAATACTGCGTTAAAACTCAGATACAAACGATGCACCGAGTTAGAGCATGATTTTTCAAAAGTGACATCATCACCTGTGAAGGCTGTGGTCTTGGAGGCACTGCAGGGGGATAGGCAACAACTCCAGCCGGTTGCTGTCCTGGAAAAGAGGCAATGTGTTTGGCCAAGACTGTTACTCTTCATGTTACAGCACCATCTAATTTTTTGACTTGTCAACATGAAGCAATCCTGCATTTTGCCTACATATTAACCTGTCAGGTTGAGGACTGTAATTGTAATGCCATCTCATTTCAAATTCGCAAACAGACAAAACTAGGAATCAGAACACGTATCTTGTCTTTGTTCCAGCCTGGAAGCAGAGACATGGACATACTTTTCAGATCTTAGTCCTTTCTTTCTTTTACCCTCATTATACAGACAACATTTTCTCACATTTCAGCTTTATCATTCAGAAGCAGTGTTTTAAAAATACACTCTCCATGTTTCTTCAGAGGGAAAAAAAAAGTCTGCTTCAGGAAGAATACATGTGCTGAAAACAATGTACAGCAGGAACACAGATCTACCTGGCGTAACTGAAAAGGATCTGTTCATATCTAAAGATGATGATCGCGAATGAGAAGGATGAGGCCTTGGAGGGGGTGGCGGTGGCGCAGCATTGTCTGGAGATGTTCCTGAATGTGATCTGCAAAACACATAAGCTCCTGTAGTGATTTGAGGCAGCTACAACAGAAGTGAAATTCCCAAGTCCTCCAAGTATGCAATTAAAAAATAAAGTTTGACAGATGGAAGGCAGCCTGATTGAAATTGATTTTGAAGATTGCAAAAATCAGTTTTAAACTTCTCATATTCTTTGATTTCACAGTGGTTTTTATATTTCTATTTACTTTAATCTCCGTCATCCAGATTATATTACCACAAGTAATTTATCTTTGGGAAACCAATAGCTTAATACATATCCCAAACAATGATAGCTCAGGAACAGAGAATCCGGAATATGGTAATTCCACCCAGATGGTAGTCACTATAATTTGCAAAGTATATAAGATGTTATCAAGATCCTGATTAGGTTTTAAACAGGTTAAGTTCAATGTCGCATATTAAGTGTCTGTTGAACCTGACTCCAGGTATACTGAGCTTAAGAATGTATCTCGGTGTATGAGACAGCTATTCAATTCTCCAGGTAGCATCCTCAGAAATTCTACCTCATTCCTAGGTAGGATCACCATCTAGTGGTTACCTGTGGTAAGTTCCTCAAGCCCACATGCAGGAAGGAGAGTGCAGTACTTCATCCTTCTGAGTGACATTCAAGTGGGATTTATTGTATACAGAGACTTTGTGCAGCTTCCATTTAAAAACGGCTTGCAGAAACTTCCTCACTAGTGCAATTTGAGCAAGACAGATTTACTGAATGACCAACATGAATACAGCTATTCTTTTATTCAACTCATAAGTGATAAATCTTTTCTAGGACTGACTTATCACAGAATGGTTTGGGTTGGAAGGGACCTTAAAGCCCATCTAGTTCCCCCCCCCCTGCCATGGGCAGGGACACTGTAACATTCTTCTATAACTACCATAAGATACAAAACTAGGAGAGGTAAGAGGTACTAAAGTTTAACACAAAACCTCGAATTCCTGAATGTATAAATCCAGAGAGAAAACTGAGCTATCACAATAGAAAAATCTGCTTAACATTCTCCAGGACATTTTTGTAACCCTCCAGCTGACAAAACACAAATCTAATTACACTGACTCCTAAGGGCATCCCTCTAGTTAGTCTAGTCTAAAAGGCACAAGTAGGATAAAAGGGGACAAAGTATACTCCTGAAGGATACTCCTGAATTATTTTCTGAGGTAGCCTTATCAGGTTTTTTTTTTTTTTTAAAATACAAAAGGTATTCTGGACTAATGGCAGGGTTAAAGACAATGCCATCTCTAAAGTTGCAATTGGTAGATTAAGTATCAGCGGAAGGAGTAAAAGAGGAAGTGGGAGAAAAATTTCCTGGGTGGATACTGTCCAGAATTGCCAGGTCTGGACAGAAGCTACCTCTGCCATAAAGCAGCAACTCATCAGAAAGTTCCACTCATCTACACCAGTTCAGCAAGAGAACCCAACCCAAAATCAGAGATGAAAAGGACATGTTGAAACCAGCACGCTGATAGTGCAAAACCACACATCGAAGCAGGACAGACCATCAGATTTGCCCTTAGGTAACAACGGAGGAAAGAGGTTTTTAAGCTGCTGTACTGAAAGGCAATTGCAAATCATGATTTGCTATTGAAGTCACCCTAATTATTTGTTTCAAAACTTACCTCTGAAACTGATTGTAAGGTGGTTAATGGTGTAACTGGTTTTTAATCCTATTCAGGCAGATTTAATGGGAACAATTAGCACCAGCTAGTACAGCACATTCTCTTACGTCAAGTGATGCAGCTGTTGGTTATGTGCTTGCATAGCTTCCTCCAGCCCCTCAGTTTATGTTGGGCCTCTGACTGCCCTTCAATTTATAAGAGCCCATTATTAAAAGAGATTGAGTTACTGCCATGGTATTTCTGATTTAAGTTTTATTATTCTTCTATGATACAAAGTCACAAGGTCCTTCTCCATTAATGCCTAAAGGATATTTTTAAAAACACAAACAATTGGTTTCAAGTAACATCATGTTACTTGTATATATATATACACATCTTCTGTATACACTCCCTTGTGTTTAAGAATAAACTTTTTAGAGTATGTTATTTTTTCAACTTTTCACTTTACACATTATTTACAGGAACAGTATACATTGTTAATGCATTAGAAAACTGCCTCCAGATTCCTGACTTTTAAAGTTAAGAATCTCTTCAGCCCTCATTTTACCAGTTGTCAAACACCCAGAAGCTCAAAACAGACTTCTTCAAACACCTTTTATTTATTCTTCTCCATTGCTATGCTACTGACCTTTGCCGTGTTACAGTGCTTCCCATTTGCTCTGGATCCGAAGTGTAGGAGTCTGAACTGCTGTAACCATCTGCTGGTAAGAGAAAGCAAAGCTTCGTATTTGTTTTGCAATATTAATATACCCTAACAGATATAAGTAATATATAACTTCAAATATCCACTTTTTATTTTTTAAAAAGTCTATGTCCTTGTACTGCTTCCCTGTAAGGTATCACCTGCACAGGACTCAAAATCCTTGAGTCTGAATAATTGAAGGATCCGATACAAACAAACTTCCCTTGCCCAGTACTATGCCTTGTTGGTTACTACTGGGATGTACTGAAGAGTAAACAATGATGTTTTATTTAAAACAAAAAAAAATATGTTTCATAAGGAATTATTTGTAACCACTTGACATTCTACCACTTCAACAATCTAGCAAACAAGAGTAATGGATATCCAAGAAAAAGAAAGCAAGACGTAGGATATGCTTTATTTTATAAGTGCTGAAGGACTGTCACACCAAAATCACAAGATTTGTGTGGCACGAATGTCAATAAAAAAATGGCTCTCAGTAATTTATTGTAAGGGATGATTCCAGAGCACCTGGTAAAGTACAATTCAAGATGGAAAGTCACTGGAGCAATGAAACTCACCTGATGAGTTACCGGGGGTGTGTGTGTGTGTGTGTGTAAAGGAAAATTCTACTCAAGACCATCAAGATCTTTTCTGAACGGCCCAGGCTCAAAGGGCTACTTTAACCTCCCAGGACACTAAACTGTCAAAAGTGTTAAGACACATCAACCAGGGCCCAGAGAAGAGAATCCTGCAGAGGTGACACTCCTATTCAAGAAGGCACATTCTTACCTGGTTACCTTTTTTTTTTTCCCCTCCCTCAAAACTACAGTTACATTAATCTAGTGAAGCTGGTTCAAGACCTTTACCATGCACAGTCAGCTGAGAAGTACCTTATTTCTAGTTAATTTAAGATTAAAAGTTATTTTGCAGGTTTACAGGTGCATGTCTATTCAATGAGGGCTACAGAGAATGAAAAAATGGTATCAATATACACATTCTTAAAAAAAAGAAACAGAAATGGCTACCATTTAAGTTTTCAGAGTCAAGTGAGAAAATTAAGTTTTAAGCAGAGTTGGTTATATGGTGAATGAAAGAGACAAAGGAATTCTAGAAGTCTATTGTGTTTTCTTAGTAGCAAAACCAGATGAGAAGTGCCTGAAAAATTTTGTGGTCAGCAGGTTTCACTCATCAAAAGACATTACATGTTTCTGGGGATGTAGAATCAAATGCTACTTATTGTACTTTCTACATATTTCAATTTCTCATCTTAAGATTAAAAGGGGAAACAGGAAGATGAATGACAGCTGATAATTAACTTTTTTGAACACATATGGCAGGAAAACATTTGCAGTGGTATCAATAAAACCTTAATTACTACTTATAACATATTTCAATATATACTTCCATACTTTCAGAAATGTCTCTATTCTTAGGATAACTTTATCTCATTTTAGAGCTGCTGCCATCTAACATGTTTACATACACCAAAGAATGTATCAGATCTACATTTTGCATCATGCAAAAAATGAGATCAGAAAGTACTTTGGTACTTACTAACTGTATTTCCAGGTGTAAACTTTACAGATGAACTCATTTTGTTTTCTTCTGGGAGGTCAGGTGGTTTCACAAGTAGTGGGCTAGTAGGGTTAGCATGATCTAGATGGAAAAACAAGCCTAATAAACAAATGTATTCAAACTAGCCTTAATTTCTGATGCCAAAGCTTTACATCAGGTAAGGGCAGAAAACTGAAGGGTTTCATTCATGACAAAAGTTGCTGTATTTTAATACTTTTGGTGGATTCATTATTTTAACTTTGAAGTTTTACACTGTAATAGTGTGATTTCCATTTCTCAGAGTTAAGAGTTGGGAATATTTACCTATTTACAAGGCTAAGGAAATTTTAAAAGTGCATTGTGGTTACCTGTTTACACACAGTCCTCAGCATATGAGAGTAAGTTACATAACTTCAGGAAGGATTGGCATATTGGGACACATCTGTACACTGCCACTCCACTGTTCCTCAAGGAAAATTATCAAACCACCTTGCTTATTTTTGACCAGAGTATTAAAAGAAAGGAGAATAGAAGAAAAAAAAAAAAAGGCCTGCCAATACCCCAAAATGCTGTGAAGTTTCAAAATAATAAACTCAGTATTTCTGACCACAGCAGATCAAGCTTTATCAATGCAGGCCGTGTTCTCCATCTTCACAATCTCCTTCAGTATTTACTAAGGAAACCTGGAGGGCCAAATCAAATCTATATCATGATGGTCCTGAACTACCCCAAGCAATAATCTCCTACAGACAGTGAAATTCTCACCGTAGCAAATGGCCAATTCAAACTCTGCACCTATCTGAACAGTTGTCTAATTCTTAATTCAGAGAACCTCATTAATTATGCTGGCTATGACTCCAGGTATATTGATTTAAGGGGAATAAAAAAAACCAAAACCAAACAGTCAGCATGTTTAAGGAAGCAAAGCCAACTCTAATTTTACAAAACTTCCCTCATTAGCAAGAGAAAACTTCCTACCACTTCCAGTTCTTTTAAGCTCCATTTCCTGCATGTGGATTTTGCTTGGAGTCATTCTTATGGGAACTGGGTGCACAATTGCAGTGTCCTGTGGAGGAAGTGAGAGTTAAGCGATGTGAGTCTCTGACACCATGCAAAATGCCATTTCTAAGCAAAATTTTTTACACAGTTCCAGAGAATTGAATATATCCTTAAAACCACAGCTCTCTAAGCTGAAGTTTCTCTAACGATTTATAAGGTGTAACCTAGCATACTACTTTAAAAGGGCACTAGAGATGTTCCTAGAGATTACTGCATTGTAAGTAGGACCGGAACTCACACCTGTTTCCACTACTTTTAGCATGCCAGATGTCTGTTACTTCAAGAGTCTCTTAAAAAAAAAAAAACCACACCATAACAAAACACACACAAACCAAAAAAACCCCTACCAACAACTTCAAAACCTCACTCCTCGGCTTTACTTACAATGACTCAGAAAGTTACGGCCTCTTTAAATAGTATGAGTAATTCTCTATAAAACTGTAGTAGTTTAAGACAAACAGTTTCAGGAGTTTTTGAAATAGTAAAATCTTCTAAACTTTAGTGTAATAAACCCTATGAAATATCTCTCTAGATAGGTGTTGACCTTACACTTCGGCATTTTCTTTGTAGTTTGGGCAAGGGATTCCATTTTAATGTCTTTTACAGACAGCCCTTTCCATTTGGTTTGGAGACTGAGTGGAAATAGCTTAAAAAAACCTCAAAACTTGTTTGTTCACAAATAACCTAAAGATAGGGATATAGTGGTTTGAGGATTCTTTACTGTCATCTATATTCAGAATATATGAATGGGTGGGACAATGACAGCACAAAAAAAACCTAACCCAGACTATATTCTGTCCTTAGAAACAACAAGAAGTTTCAAAGCTACCCTTGTATCAGAAATTTAATCTGTTCTGACTACTCAAGTAGATCAATTTCACCAAGCATAATGTATTTCCATTAATATTTGCTAAAACTGTTTAAACTGACTTCCACTACTCTTGCTGTAAATATAAGCTTTTAAACCCACTTTCTAGTCACAGCTCAAACACTCTTTTTGCAGCAGGCTTTTAGGAAAAGTTATCGCTTTAAAATACGTTGTGCTTTTTTTCCCCCTGTAATGGGGGAAAAAAATCAAGCGAAGATCACTCTTGCTGCAGCTACTTCAGTTCTCTGCTGTAATCTAATGTGCAGCTACTACAAAAATCATGTCTCAAACAGTTAAATTAATTCTTTATGTAATGTATTAAATCAGATCATTAATTTTACACAGAACATTACCAACTTTTACTCACAACAAGAAAATTATGTTCCCATACCAGGGGATAAATGTACTGTTTTACTCTCATCTTTTACCCCCAAAGCAGCTGCTTTTCCAACCAAAAGAGAAAAGAACAGTAAAAAAAAAAAACCCAAACTGTAAAAGAACTATGAATTTACTCTTTAGTTAGTTATTAACTGCTCCTTTGGGAAAGCAGGCATTAAAACAATAAAATAAAAGTCATACGCATCGCTGTTGAGATTGCTGAAGTAAGTAGCCTGCACACTGCCACTGAAAATTTGCTGTCATTTCTTCTTATTTTCATATGAAAATAAAGACACTGAAATAGCTATTCCCAAAGTCAATCACCTCAGCAAGCATCAAAGATGGCCAATTTCTCACCTATAAGCACTGCAAAAAAACTCAAGAAAGTGATCTCCCAGTATAGTTTTTCTGTACTTGTACTGAATTTGTTTATTCATGCATGCATATACATGCATATACACACATGCAGAAACATATATATGGCTATATATGAGTTTTCCATCTATCACTTTTTTTTAGATTATCAACATACGCGCAAAAATTTCAAACTTCATATTTCTGTCATTTAGTAATCATGTCTAAAAATAAATTACTATCTTATTGTGGAAAGAAGACAGTGACAGCTCTTAACTGTCAGGCAATTATAAACAGTAAGAAAAAAACCTATAAGCTGATTTCCATCATGTTTATTTACTTAAAACATAAGAAGACAATACATTTAAACCAAAAAGTCTCTCAGATGAAAAAGGGCTGGTTTTCACTTTAAGCGTGACATTTTCATTTGTTTTGAATGTTAGTACTATGGGCAATTCTGAGCACAGGAAACAGAGTTCAAATTCAAGCTTCCAGCATTTAGAAATGCTATTTCCACACACGTATCAGTGTTAACTCAGAGTGGAGCACTGATGGATTTAAAATATATGTATAGTTATGTATTGTACCTTTTCAGAAGTGACCTGTTTAATACTAAGAGCAGTTAAAGGTTTACTATGTACACCTACTGTATTCTGTTATATAATCATATGGACACTAAGACCATGATTAATTAAATTAAAAGGGACACTAGCAGTAATAATTAAATCTATAAGACAAGCAGGATGAAACCAGAAGCTACATACTGAAGTGATTTCAATGCATTTCAGAACTGCTTCCATGTTACATGCTGTGAAGTTTAAACCAGCAGAACTTCAAACAACAAAGTGGATTTCTGTCTCCCAGACTTGGCAATTATATAGTTATATTTAACTATATAATCCTTTAGAGCACTTCTGAGTACAGCATTAGAACAGCACAGGTTTGGCTGGAGAAATAATAAAAGCCTTATTAATAAATAACTTGGTAAAAACATCAGGAGTATGAAATACAACACCCATTAAAGCCCAGTAGATTTTTCAGTGAAGCTGGCATTGCCAACCCCTAAGACTTCGTGCAAATCAAGCTCTGCAACATAAAAAAAACCCAAAACAACACAGAAGATAAATCTAAACCTGGACTGGTTTATCACTGAGAGGGGCCCTTGTGTTAACTTAGAAATATTTTAAATATAATGGGCTTTTTTTAAAACTGCGTAATATGGGTTTTGTTAGCAGTGTTGTATTACATCAAAATCAAGGGAAAAGGGCATTATTTGCACTCAGATGAGCAGTACTAGAAAATTGATATTCCTAAAATAAGCAAAAAAATTAAGAAGCCTGCCACCATTCCCCAAAAAAGCAGTCCGTGGAATCATGCATAACAGCTAAATACAATGAATGGAAATTCAGTGTTAATAAAATTAATTTCAAACAAGCAAGCTAAGTGATTGACTTACAGGATCAGCTGGTGCAATGTTAGAATCAAATTGGGTCAGAGTTTGTGAGCTTGAAGAGCGTTCGCTAAATGTCTCCCACTGCTGAACAGACAGAGGAGAGAAGTCAGCATGATGGAAAGATGGGAGTAAAAGATCACTGAGGAGATTTAGCACAGTGGTTCGGAGGTTGCACTGGAAAGTACTGCCTTTGCACTGGACACTACCTCGTTTGGAAAGCACACTAACGCACATTACGTACTTCTACTGCAGTCTGAGATGTTCTGCCATCAAGTTTGTTATCTGTCAATATTAACCTTTACAGTCACACTTGGTAATGCAGATACAGGTGCACAGTCAGCACAGAAGCACCTTCAGAGTTAGTGTTTGCCGACGAAAACCATGCAAGTAAAAAACTGGTTGTGCCATTAAAATACTCTAAGGACGAAATCAGCACCACTCATTATGCGTATTTGTAATTATAAAATCCACAGAAAGGTTCCTCAGCTTTGTAGCTGCTGAGCTTCAAATGTATTCTGGAAGTGATTTTCTCACAAAATCCCAGACAAATGAACACTGAACAGAGCAGTCCAATAACAGCAGTTCAGCTTGCCAGTGCAACCCCTGAGAAGTGATTCTATGCTGTAAAAGAGTATTTTTACAAGTCTAAATCACTGAGAAGGCAAAGAATTAAATTCAAACACACTGTTGATTGCTAAAAGCAAATAAGTCAATCTGAACAGTTTTCTAAGACACAGGCATGCTGTACCAATACATAGTTGTCAAGAGTCCTCATGCTTAGTAAGTCAAGCTACAGCCAGCCACAACTGGATCAACAAAGTACGAAAGACCATGAAATTAGTCCATGATCCAGAAATCAGATTACAAATCATAACAGGAATACTAAACTCGTTATATTCTGGTAAAATAACAACTAAATATTAACCAAGTTTCAAACACTACAACAAAAATTACAAATCCAAAAATCTTAGTGCTCAAAATTTGACAAAAATGTTATTAGTTGTGAAAACAAATCAATATTCTCATCCCATCTCTATAGGCAAGTCAATGTAAATCAATGATACCAGAAGATACAGGACAAACTATACAGTGCTAGTCAGCCCAATTTTATGTGCTCTTCTACACCGAATGGCCTGTATGTGAACCTAGTCCAAAACAGCTATTTCAGAAACAACTCCTGATGGAAATTCCTAAATAACTGTTTTCAATCATCTGAAATTAAATTCAGAAAAATATCAACTGAATTTGTAATTGCATTCATGTGTGGTGCTACTCCTCGTAGAGATAACACTTTATTTCATTTCAAACTTTAAATGAAGGCAAAGATTATGGGGTACTGTTCATATGGGATTTGGGGGGGTGTGTGTTTTGTTTGTTTTAAACACACAAAACTATCCCTTTCATGGGCAGAATCTAACAAAACCTTGTCAGTAAAGGTGTAATGTTTCCCCTCCTTACCTGCTCTGTCCCAGTCCCTGTATTAACAGCTCATGTCCGTGTGGTTTGGAGCTATACAACCCTGTGGGTGAGCCAGTTTTCACTAAGTCAGAAACTTAATGGCCAAGTTCTGCTAACCTTCCTCCTGATTTCGTATCTTGTGTTTACACAGCTGCTCATTTTCTTGAAACATGCATTAAGATTTATTTTAGGACTACCACTCTTTTAAACTTGATTTGGCCAGTGGCTTCGAAGTTACTGGTGAGACTGGCAAATAGACCATTTGATTACAGAATTAATCATTACAGTTTCTTAATTTTTCAAAACTTCCATAAAGGCATAGAGAATCTATGTTATATTCAAGATGAATGTTAAAATATTACTTTTTTAGACACGAATGCTGAATTTACTTTTAATCCTACTCCTCTGAAGCCAAGCTGCAGGACATTTATTACTTGTCCTCAGGCTCCATAGCTGGGCACACACAAATGAACATCAACACCTCCTGACTGCTCTGGGGAATATGCTGTTTGTACTCCATCCTGAAATGCTACCAGAAGGTAGTTACTGCTAATTCCCTCGTTAACAGAAAGCTACATATATTAAGGATCTACTGGACTGCACCTTAAACTCTGCACAACGTTTAAGAGCATTGACGATACAACTGAACAGCCAAAATAAAACGCCCACTAGCCGAAACTAAAATTCTGGTCTTCTAGACTCACAAAAAAGTCTTTTCAAAAATACTTTCAAAAGGTTCACTACTAAAAACTAAACACAACAACCTGAACCATTACTAGAAGAACACCAAGACATTTGAAACAAGGTGTAACAGTTGGAAACTCAAAAGCAAATCTCCACATCTGTGTCAAAGCTAATATGACCATATGACTCTAGCCTGTTTTCAACAAAAATCAAATAGGCTAGTCAATTATTTTTTTTTTTAAGCTCTGAACTAAGTGCTCAGCCTTGAGACTAGATGGAAAAGACGTCTGAAATGAGAACGAAGTGGTAAGTGAAGAGATGAGAATGTGAAGTGTGCAATACCCAGGGTCAGGTGGATTTTCATGGTGCTCATTATTCTCAAGTTTGAGATTGATACCTTGGTCCATACTTGGGAGCTTACAGTAACTGAGCCTGGTAACTGGAGTCTAAAAAAATTTAACTCAGCTAGAAAGAACAGAGCAACCAACAGCTTTGAAACTAACAGGGATGAAACTGCCCGGGAAGGCAGATGATCCAAAGACGTATAGCTTTGTCAACAAATTCATTTCTTGCTGACAGTTATAAGAGGTTCAAAGAGGAAACAATTAGACTGGTGCCTGCAGTAATACCAGAATTTTTTTTGGCATTGAAACCTTGAGGACTTTGACCTGAACTCATGATGAAAAGAAAATGCCAAGGAGCAAGAAGCATGCACAGCACTACAGCTGAAAAATCAGAAAATTCCTTTGTGTTAGAACAAAAAACAACTCTTAACATTTAGTAAGTGTTCAACTCTTATTTTAGTATAGTTAGTATTTGGTAGTATATTTAGTTTGATAACTTCACCAAACATCCTAAGGTCTTAGTACATTTTCCGAAAGAAAATACCACTGACTCGGTTTTGTGAGACAAGATTTTGGCTGACAGAGAAATACCTTAAACTTTGTTCCACTAGTGCAATTATCCTACTCAACTGTTCTGAGTTTCACTGAACACTGAAGGAATCTGTTCAATTATGATGTGGCTTACTAAATGATTAGCCTATTAAATCTTTAATGCAAACATGAAGGAATTATCACCGCAAATTTTAATACAGCTGCAGACATTCACAGCTTTTCAGCAATAACTGGATATCTGCTCACATCCCTCCTAAAACATAGCTTCCTACTAGTAGTCTAAGAATCGACGTTAAATGGAATCATAGAATGGTTTGGGTTGGAAGGGACCTTAAAGACCATCTAGTTCCAACCCCCCTGCCATGGGCAGGGACACCTTCCACTAGACCAGGTTGCTCAAAGCCTCATCCAGCCTGGCCTTGAACACTTCCAGGGATGGGGCATCCACAGCTTCTCTGGGCAACCTGTTCCAGTGCCTCACCACCCTCTCCGGGAAGAACTTCTTCCTGATATCCAATCTAAACCTCCCCACTTTCAGTTTAAACCCATTACCCCTTGTCCTGTCACTACAGGCCCTTGTAAAAAGTCCCCCCCAGCTTCCTTGTAGCCCCTTCAGGTACTGGAAGGCTGCAATAAGGTCTCCCGGAGCCTTCTCTTCTCCAGGCTGAACAAGCCCAACTCTCTCAGCCTGTCCCCATAGCAGAGGTGCTCCAGCTCTCTGAGCATCTTCGTGGCCTCCTCTGGACTCGCTCCAACAGGTCCATGTCCTCCTTACATTGGGTGCCAGAGACCTGAATGCAGTACTCCAGATAAAGCGAGTGAGAATCACAGAATCATTTGCTACATTTTTGACTTGGTAAGGACATCACTGTGCAGCTAACATTTGCCCTTAAAAAGGGACAGCAGACTTTACAAAGTCCTTCCTCATGAGAGATGAAGAAAATTTCCTCTGCTACTAACACTAATCTGAAAAATTTGCTTATTTTCTGTTTCATACCGATTCTTCTTTGGTTTGTCTAGACATTTTACTACCAATCTGTTATTCACCTGAAGTCTTAACAAAGAAAGAAGAAAGCCATAAAATGTTCTTTCAAAAAGAGAAGCAGGTACAATAATACTCAGCTAGTGATAGAACTATCTTGGACGTTAAAATAAGTTTTAGATTCTTTTTGAGTCTCAGATTCCTAAATGAAAAGACTTTTCCATAAATTATTTCAAGAGTTCTCCAAGTTTTTTTTATGTTATAATGAAAAATAAGCCTACATCATCTTTGTAGGATGGTTGCAGTCAGGAACCCATTTGAATCTCTAATGTAGCTCTTAGAATAAAATGTTGATTTATTCTAAGTCACAAAGGCAAAAATGTTAAAACAAAGCAACAAGACACACTCTAGGTATCAATCCCTCACAGGCTTTTCAAACAATGGACGTGCGTGAGGGGGGAAATCCTATTTGGTAACTTCAGTTCAAATTCTGACAAAACAAAGCTTCACTGAGTAAGATTGCTTATATAGCCAATATGTAGGATAAAGGATGATAAAGCAGCAACACTAACAGCAAAAATGTAAAATTTAAGTATATTTAGCCAGTGGTTGGCTTCAGATTCAACTTTAAGTCTTCTGCATCTGAAACAAACCCAGAGCTATGACTTCTCTGTGTTACCAGTCAGGTATTTTATATTTCAGGGTAAAATCGTCTCCAGAAATAAGTCTCAGTGTCCAGATTGTCAGAAATTTATTTTTAAGTTTTGCAAAAGTGTTGGCTATAAAAGACCTCAGAAGTAACAAAAAACCCCAACCAAAAGCCAGCCCTAAAAGGAAAAAAAAAAAAAAAATCAGGGATGAACACAGCTTCTCCAATAAATAAGAGATCATTGTGATTAATATAAAGCTTAATTACCATTAATGACATTTTAAGCAGCATCTCATCTCACAATGCGACAGGAAATCAGGAGGAAAACATTTTCTACAACTTAACACATGCAGAACCTTCCTGTGTCCATTGTGCTGCCGAACCGCTTCACCATTTGTGATCAACAATCCACTTATGATGAACTATAGATACATACACGATTTAGTTATTGACTGGCAATGAAATAACAGTTAAACAAAAGTGCTAACCTCACTGCTCTGATTCAATTCTGGCCAGGTCTGGTTTAGGGATGGCATTGATGGAGACTTGCTTGGAGGTGCTTCTGCTGGAGAGCTGGAGTAACCTACCTCGCCAGTCTGTTCCCCAACTTCTGAAATGACAGGAATCACTATAAACCAAAATTATGAATTGCATTCAGTTTGTCCTGAGAAGAGTCACCCATATCTCATGGAACAGTGCAAAGTACCCTTGGGTTTCATCTTTCCCAAGTAAATACTTAGCAGCAGACAAAAAAAAAAAAGTCAAATATACTATTTACCTGGTGCTACTCTATTCTGAGGATTTTTCTAAAGAATGGGCTTTGAAGATTACTCTGCACCATACTATCTTTCCTTTTTTTTTAGTACTTTGGGTTTTAAGTAGCATTTTTAGATTTTGATTACATACAGCAATAAACATAATTCATTCTTATAATGTAAGAAAACAGCTTCCCGCATATGTTTATTACACCAAAACCAATACCAAGAAGTTTATCTTACAGAATAAATACTTCCTTACACAAAAAGCTAAAGCAAAACCAGTATATCAATGTAAACCAAACAAAAAATATGAACACACAGATGAAAAACCATTCCCTTAAGATCATTCCCCAAAGAATATATTAAGCTTTAATCCTCCTTACTAAAGCAACAGTGTTTCCATTCTCTACATTTTGCAAACTGAACAAAGTTCAGCAGTAACATTTTGGGACTGCATATTGCATATTACTCACTCTGAAGTGCAATATGAAAAAATTTTTCTAATGAGTTAAAAAAACACTCCAAATTCTCATTTCAATGGTGGTGCACCAGGTAACTACTATTGTTGAACAAGGTCAAAAGATAAAGTGGAAAACTGCTGTGGACCGACTACGCAGATCCCTGCAATTCAAGGAATTTTGCAAATACATGCATAAAACATGCATAAGACAGTTGTGGTGTCTTCAGGGGTTAAAGTGATTGAGTTGTGTAAGAAAAAGCATGGCAGATTCACAAAATGGTTTAGGTTGGAAGGGACCTTAAAGATCTTTCTTACAAAGAAATGGTGTTGTTGCAGCAGCCCAAACAACAAACAAATTTACAGAAAAGCAAAACTTGCTTTGAGTGTTATAAAGGGTTTTGGTAGCTTTTACTGAGATAAAATGGATTTTAAAGGGAAACGTTCACATTTATTTACATTATAGGAAGTCAGACTATTACTCTTCTCATCTGCAGCTTCATAAATTCTGCCAAGACAGAGGCAGATGCTATCAGCAGTATTCAATTCATAAACTAAATGTATAAGCATTTAGAGAAGTATCTGTACAACTGCCCGGCTTCATGCTCCCATTTTCATTCACTGCAGTCGTCTTCTGCGGGCTCTTCTTACGCAGACAGATCTTGCTCATTCTGACGTTATCTATCTATACATACCACAACGCTGTGTTAAGTGGAGCTGCTGCAACCCAAGTAATTCTTTGAAGTACATGATCTCATTCAAAACCCTAAACCCATTCAAATTATTTACAGAATTACCAAATTATTCTAAGAATTTAAAAGTCCTAATTTCTCTCCCTAGTCAGCAGAAAGGTATCAGCACATCACTGAACATTCTTTTCACTGAAGTTCTGTAGGGGCGTAGTGCTATACCAGGAAAATGACCAACTATGTAAATGCTCTATTATACAATAGGTCTGTGTCACATGAGAAATACATCTCCCTGGTCACGACACCAGATGTAAGAAAAGACCAGTATGTTAACAGGTTTGGGACACCCGCAGCTGGTCACATAAGAGACTGATGGGGCTGATGAAGGAGAGGCTGCCAGAGGAGAACACAAGAGTTACTGCCCTCCCTCTGCATGAGCAGACGTAGGATGCAGGGAGCCCTCTGGTTGCTTTTCCTTTGACTAGTCACTAGGTCAAAAACCAAAATGGAAATAAACAGAAACTTTTTGGTGTACAGCAGAAGCATGGAAGATTGAGGGGTAAGTTTCTAACCAACGGACAAAACTAATAAGGGTGTTAACACTTCTGAAATAATTGTTAACCATCTTATACGCTGGTTTAAAAAGACATTCCAATAACTGACCTTCTTGAACAATTTAAGAGTATGTTATTCACACTGAGGCTTCACAGGCAGCAGCAGATTACTAATAATTTCTTTCTCTGAGAAAGTTTTATCACATGAAACAAGTGCTCTCAAAAACAACATTACGGTGCCATACTTTAGAGTTTCTATTTCAGAGAAGGCTGTTGGAAGGAAGTTTTATTGAAATACAGCTTTTACAGGAACTAAAAAGAAAACATTACAAAAAATTAACTGGTTGATCTTTGTAGGCTGATTTACAGTCTAAGTTAAACCCGTGTATTTTAACATGCACATTAATCTGCACACAGGCCTCTGAGTAACCTTTAATTTAGATTAAATTAGTAAACATATGCTGGAGATTTGGACTGTTGAACCTGCAAGTAGAACTAGAGTTAGGTCAGTAACTTCTCCTTAAGTCTTGTGTTCAACATATAAGTTTAGGTGATAAATCATATTAGGTGCTAGAAAAGATTTGCTATTTCCAATACCAGTGGTTCAAATTAAAAAAAAAGGGGGGGTGGAAATCTAATTAATTTGCTAAAACTCAACAAGTTCACAAGAACTGTCACTTTTCATTGTAGCTATTAATATGAGCAGAATCGAGTATCAGTCAGAACCTTCTTTTTTTAAGCACAGCTTACAGAGCACGGTAACCTTTTAACATTCACTAGAACAGAGTAACTTCTCCAATACCAAAGGGAAAAAATGGTGGGTCTTACTACTTTTAAAAGTAAGTTTTCCTCAAATTTGAAGATCACTTTGTACCTCATAAAAGTAAGTCACAGAGTTTTATATTTACCAAGTTGCCTGCAAAATAAGAGGAGTAAACACAGACATGACACTTTTTGGTTTAAGTTCCCAAAAAACTTCAGTTAAATGACAAAAGCCTTGAAATCTACTCCCAGTAAAGGCAGTAGAAAATCAGGTACAAAAATAGTTGATGTTTCAGTTCTCTTTCAAAATTAACAACATTTTATAAAAAAAAATTCCTCCATTTCCTATGAAGATTTTTGCTCGACCATCACCTTAACACAAAAATACACAGAATGACTAGGTTTTGACACTTGCTGGGTATTCACCCAATTAATTGTAGGTATTTCTTATGAATGTCTCTGTTGTAGCTTACTCATACTGAAAACAATTCCGTTGCGGCTGACTGCTGTTGGAAAGGTTCTTTGAGGAGCCAAGATACTCCCACAAAAAAGGTTTAATTATTAAAGCAGAGGTAGGAAGAGCCACTGTATCTAGTTTAAGAACTCGTCAATAATTGTCAGATGAAAAGTCTCTGATATCCTATAAACACAGTAGGAAGAGATCTGCTTTGAAGCATTTAGTAAAGAGGTACAAAATTCTAAGAAATCATAGCACCTGTGAAGCCACAGTACAACCTGTAGTAATCTAAAGCAGTTTTAAAACATTGTTTCCTTTCTCTGTTTTAAAATAAAGATGGCCAGAAGCATCCTGTTTTTAAACACCACTTTTACTTGGAACTGTAATTTACTTTTCAGTTATGGGTCCGAGTTTTTGGCACATATGAACAAGCAGAACTTTCACATTCAACGGTTCCAATGGAAGCATCCAAAAGTAAAGGACTATGCACAGAAAGACTAGGTGTACTAGGTGCCAAAGCAATGGAGGATAAATCCTGCTGTCAAGTCAGAAGTACAATTAAAACAAATTGTCTCTGGTGCTGATCCTGTACTTTTAAACTGCACAGTCCTATGACTAGCACTCAATCTGGGAATATTTTGGAAATACCTTCAAGACTTAGAAACTCATGTCGTATTTTCAGAAATGAGGGTGAACAGAAAGCATATTTATTTAAAAGCAAGTTTGAAGCTGGACAGGGAATTTGGAATACGGTAGCTGATCATGAATAAAATCATGAATTGTGAATCTTGTTTTCCCTAACTTTTAGAGGACACAGGCAGAATTTCCAAATAGTCAATGTGTACTGTGCCTAAATAACATCTCTCTGTACAGAAATACATATGTGCTCGCATCAGCTCTGAACAATGATGAAGGTTTCTACAAATTGCACATTGCTTCACTTCATGCTGACTAATCATAGAATCACAGACTGGTTTGGGTTGGAAGAGACCTTAAAGACCATCTAGTTCCAAGCCCCCTGCCATGGGCAGGGACACCTTCCACTAGACCAGGTTGCTCAAAGCCTCATCCAGCCTGGCCTTGAACACTTCCAGGGATGGGGCATCCACAGCTTCTCTGGGCAACCTGTTCCAGTGCCTCACCGCCCTCTCCGGGAAGAACTGCTTCCTGATATCCAATCTAAACCTCCCCACTCCCAATTTAAACCTGTTACCCCTTGTCCTGTCACTACAGGCCCTTGTAAAAAGCCCCCCCCCAGCTTCCTTGTAGGCCCTTCAGGTACTGGAAGGCTGCAATAAGGTCTCCCTGGAGCCTTCTCTTCTCCAGGCTGAACAAGCCCAACTCTCCCAGCCTGTCCCCATAGCAGAGGTGCTCCAGCCCTCTGAGCATCTTTGTGGTCACCTCTGGACTCAATCCAACCGGTCAATATCCTTCTGATATTGAGGGCTCCACAGCTGGACGCAGCACTCCAGGTGGGGTCTCACCAGAGCAGAGTACAGGGACAGAATCCCCTCCCTCAACCTGCTGGCCACACTTCTCTGGATACAGCCCAGGATACAGTTGCGTTATGCTCATACAAACCTATAAGTACCTGCTGATATACTGTAACCTTAACTATACCATATTTTGATAGTATAGTGAAATTTGTGTTGAAGCGTATCTTACCTGTTGAGTCTTCCAAATCAATCAGTTTGGGCATTAAACTTTCAGGCAGCTTTTCTGGCAAATCATACCCATTCTTCCTAGCAACTACCAGATGAAATGCAGCACAGAACTCGTCCAATGTCAGTGCACCATCTTTATCAAAATCTGACAGTTCCCTAAAAAGGAAAGCTTAGTATAAATAAAATTTCTAAAGGTTATTTTATTTCCAAAAGGCATATTTCTGTTGTGCTACTTGGAAGATCGAAGAGTGCAGTTTATCGTTCATTTTACCCTATTAAACATTACATATTAGCACTACATGTTTTATTCTTCAAAGTTGATAAACCTTCATTAATAACATTATTTAGAGCTTAAATATAATTTCAACCCACTTTTATCTTTCCACTGAAAAGAACTGTTTTTTAACTGATATAAGACAGTTTTTACAGACACAGTATTATTGGCCTCAGGTGTTTGGCAAAGTTTACTAAAGAAACAATAGTGCTGTGGCAACATCATTTATTTTAAATGGGAAAATACCTGAGTTAGAAATCATTACACTGAAAGAAAATTCAAATCTGCCAAGGTAAGCCAATTAATGATAGCATGCAATGACACAGTACGAATTCTAGAATACAATGAAATACAAGCTTTGCACCAAGTCTAAGCTAAATCTGACATCAAGTCCCACTAACTGCATCTAAAAATATTTGCATCTGTATGTTTCATTTGAACTTCAGACTTGAATAAAAAATATAAAGAATTAGTTAAATTTAAATGCACCTTTAACAATAAAAACTTCAAATAAATTACTTTTTACTCTGAAGTGTTTGAAATTTCTTCAAAAGCTCAAAATGCCTTGTAAATAGTGCCAGACTAGACCCATTAAAGCCCCCTTAAATAACACTGGCATAAATACAAGTAGGACTGAACAGACTGGAGTACTAGTGAAATTTCACTTAACACCTTCTAGTAAGTAAATTATCAGATGACTGCCAGATAGCTGTCATCTTTATAAATAATATCCCAAATAAAGACACATCACACTTACCAAATATGAGAAAGTTCAAGAATAGGTAGTTTTGATTTAGTGAAAAACTCTTTAGCTGCAGATCCTGAAAAATTACAACAACCATTTTTAATATTTAAAGCAAGTTAAATCATTAGAATACTTAGAATTATGGTAAAGGAGATGAGCTATTTAACAAATGTTTTGGGAAAAATGGCACTAATTACTAGGATTAAATGAAGGAAAACAGCAAATTGTTTTCAAGTCTTTCCTTGAATTACATTGGACTTTACTAGAACATTACCAGTAAAACACAGAGCTCTTCAAAATGGTACGCAAACCTAGGTAAACAACAAAGTCTTCTTAACAGAACTGCTGCACCCACAATTATATTTTTTAAAGAGTAACTTACCTGGTATAAATCCATTTAGATCAGGTTGAATGGTTTTAAACTGATTAACATAATACTGCCTTTGCTCATCAGTTATTTTCCAGGGGTCATCATAACTACTTGATTGCCTACGAATTTCATTTGTTGTTGTAGCTGATGCTACAGTTCGTACTGTTGTCTGGTCCTGAAATGAAATATTTTTCCTCAGTATCATCTACCTAAAATGCGTCTATGAATTCTCAACTTCTTGCCTTAAAAAAATAAAGCATAGTTAAATCTCGGAGTAGTTTAGACACTGCAGGAAACTATCAGTAGATTGCATCTACAGGGTAATGACAGGTATTTTTGCACACTGACACACATGGGTAGAATGACTGCAGGTATGTAAGCAGAAAAAAAAAGTATGGCACATATGCAAAAAAGCTGAACACAAATGTTTTAGTTGTAATCGCTGACATTTTTTCAATTACTAGTTTTCATTTAATCATTCCAAATGAAGTCAACCCAGTGGAACAAATTCAGTGAAGAGCACTGAACAGACTACAGCACAGATACACAGTAAACATCTGCCATGACAATTACGTATATAAAAATAAATTAAAAAAAAACACCAAACCAAAAAAAATAACCAAACCAGGATTGCAACATCAATCTGAATGAAGCAAATCAAATACCAATAAAGTGTCACACCTGGACAGAAGCAGGATGCATGGCTAAAAGAGCACTGGTTGGTGGGGTATCTGCAAAACTGACCCAGTTTTCTTGATGGGGTGGTGGTGAATGGCCAGACCATATGGGATCACTAGAAGTAGATGAGCCTGAAAGTAGAAGAAACATTTCCTTTTCAAGAGACAGCCTTGAAAACTGAGTAAGAACCACATGGAAATGGAAAGCAGTCAAAAAAAAAAAAATCCTGAAACACATGCTCCTGTCAGGGAGACATACACTTGTAGAATGGTGAAGTAAATGAAAACCAAACTGCAGTAAGGTGACAAAGTTCACCTCCTGACAACTCACTCCTGTAGGTTTTTACATTACACCAGCTTAAATCTGTACTAAAAAGACAGAAGTGAGGAACGACCTTAGTGCAGAATGTGTAAAATGTAAATTGGGTTTTACCCATTTAATGGGTTTTGAATGAGTTAATACTCCACATTTTCACTTAATTGAAATGAGCAACACTTGTGTGGACAAGCAGCTATGTAGAAGAGGTATAGGATATTAGCATGCAACTCTACCATGATTATTAAACTTTTTTCCTTTTTAGGTTTTAGTTTGCCATTCGAAGAACTAAGCCTTGGAAATCCATCTTAAGGATTAGGCTTTTTTGCACAGATTTTTTTTAATAATAATTACTAGACTAACTTAACTCAGTTGCTTAAAAACAGTCCAAGAATAATAAAAGGCATCCATATAGAGTGCTGACATCTGGTATGTATTGACTATCTCACAATAACTGAGATTCATCAAGTGCCTTGCTATAACCTACCTCTGAAGTGTTGTGCATGTCCAGTGACTTACTATTAAAATAACGCAACTGCACAAAGATTTGGCCACCCACTGCTCGATGCACAAAACTAAAAATTCTCTTAAATTGCAGCTGCAAATTAAAAATTTAAGGAACTCTGATCAGACGGGAAACAGTCTGGAAAAATCCCAGGAATCCATTCTACTCCTGGACTCCTAAAAGAAATGCTGAACTCCTTAAACCTAAACAGCGGTTGTGAAACAGATTAACGTACTTCAATAGAAATAATTAGTTGTGCAAGAAAAGTCATAATTAGATAGGAATTTCTGCCTCGTGTAGGAACATATTTCCTTTTACAAGGCAGATCAACTTCTTCCAAGCTTCTGTATGCTCTCCACACAACCCACAAACAAGAAACATGAATTAATGCCAATTTTAATCCTGCCATGAAGAACTACATTGAAGCAATAAAACCCAAGAGTTTATCATCAAGATGCTGACTAAAAGGTACTGCTATTACAAGACTGTTTATATATGAAGTAATCTATTTATGAAGCTGATAAATATCAACAATTTCAGGTTCTTGAAGACTGATGACGCTAATAGTACACAAGCTACAGTAAACAGTGAAGGAAATCTGAGAATCAGTAGGGCACACTGAGAGCTAATATCTGAAGTGACAGTAACACTGTTAGTATACAAAGTTGCTATTTGATATCCGGCAGTGTGCAATTTACTCTTTCATTCCCTAAATGACCTTTTTCCTAGGAGAAAGTAATGAGATAAATGAACCGGTTCACCTTTGCTCTTCTTCTACGTACCATAGCCATAGTTGTGCACAACACATTTAATCTTGCGTTACATAGAGCGAAAACTCAGATTTCCAAGAGGAGAAAGATTTTTGAAGGAGGAGGCAAGTCAAATATACAAAATTGAGAGGTTACATTATTTCTGAATTTCATCAAAATATGAGAATAATGGGAAAAACCAAGGGGTGTGGTTATTTCTGTGGTTGGGTTTTTTGTTTGCATTTTTCTTTTTTAAATAAAATTAGGTTTTCTAGGATAAAAAGAGACTATTAACTACTCCTTTTGTTCCCAAGTTTGTCCTCCACTTCTGGAAGCTCCTGATGGGTCCTGAAGCTTCCACTGTTTTTACCCAAAAATGCTGAGAATAAGGCAGGCAAAGGGTTTGACATTGCTTTTTGCCTTGGGCGGTTCTTCAGTAGGCCTAACTCTAAAATACTGGAATGAAACATGCAGAAAAGCCAAATCTCTTCCCACCCAGTCTCTCAGCACATGGCTAACAGACAGTAAGATTCAGACATGTCCTTCCCATCTCCCCTACGGATATTCCACGCTCAAATTTTACTTGATAGGATGGCTCTCCCCTTCTCTGCCCTTCAGACACTGACAAGATTACCACTAACCTTACGTACGTTTACTCCACCTCTACTTCTCCCAACTGGTTGTCTTAGTCAATGTTTGCCACTTGGCACAGGACCTCTTGACAGCCTTGGAGACATGAGTAGCACCAAACTGTCACACTTGCCAAGTCCTCTACAAGTATTACAAGAACTGTTTCCTTTCTCCCCTGTTCACATCTTCCCAACAATACACTTGTTTTAATGTTCCTGTTATTCACGCTGTGATGCAAAGTTTTAGGACACAGGATAGAAGGCTGGGGAAGACTGGAAGAAACATTACTAGTAACTGTGGACACCTGGCTCTACACACACACAACCTGACTGCCACCAGCCAATAACACAAGTCTCAATCATTAAACCTACATCTATGTGACACTTGAATTCAGAGAGTCAGCCCTCACTTTCTTCTCAAAGTATAAAACCAAACTGGGAACACTGTGGAAAATGGAAAGTGGAAGAAAATTGGGTCACAGAGAATACTCTGAAACACCAGGGTATTTTTCTTTTTTATGCTTTGTAACTCAATGAAGAAAAAACTTCCCATGGTCTCTGTACACTTTCATCAGTGAGACCACCACCAACAGCACCTTGAATGGAGAGTGGGCATCCGACCAACTCTCAGATTGGAACTGGCTGGTGAAGTACAATGCACTAGGTTTAGTATGAAGACCTAACTTTAATTCCTGTGGCTGCTCGGTATCCTTCTCCTCTAGCTGGAATAACTTACCAACATACTGACAGCTTGTGGAAAATCCTCTCATTTACTGTGGGGAAAAAAGTTACCCCCTCACTTTAAGCTACAGATTTAAGTGTATGAAATGGTCTATCCAGATAACATCTGAGTATCTTGTACTTTTCAATAAATATACAAATGTGGGTTTGCTTACAAAGGACTAAGTTTTCAGCTAACTATGTAAACTAGCAAGAGTTCTCCTTACCAAGAATTTGTGACAAAACAAAACCTGAAGGTGACTACAATTTTGGCAATAGGAGAAAATGCTGTAGAGCTCTTCCCTCTCTGAATAATGACATCCAGGTAAGAATAATCCCTAACTTGTAACGAGGTGTCATGGCTTAGTCTCAGTAAGCAACCAAGTACCACAAATCATGCAGCCGAGTTTCCCACATTTGGGGAAATCGCAGGGGTCAGCACAGCCGGAGCCCAAGGGAAAATTATCAACAGTAATTAAAGCAGTAACTAGGAGACAAAGGGCTATTCAGTCCCATGCAAGCACAGTAAGTGATTTAGGACTGTAAAGATGCAAGTGAACCATTAGCACAGTAGACACATTCCACTTGCACCCATTGTTTCTGGTTCTTGATTTCATGAACTGCAGCAAAAGCTCTCCCAACAAAGAGAAGGAAAAAGTGTGGTTTAGGGCTGCAAGTTCTCATACATATTCAGACGTCAAAACAGAACTTTGATGTGACGCCAAGGAAAGCTAACACAGGTCTTATGAGTAAACAGAACACCTCAGATTTGCTTACTAGTTTGATCATGATTTGGATACTACCAACATAAACGCTCTGCTTTGCTTCCAGTCCAAACAGGCTACAATGTAATAAAAAAATAGTTTCTAGCCCTCGTTCTCACATCCCACTTAACTATCATTTGAAGTGGAGAATGGGTTCTTTCTCTCAAGTTTGTCAAGAGTCACAATCCTTCTAGAAGCTGAAGCTGTAGTGCAAAGTAAGCTGAAAAAGTGGAAGTATGAAGTATTTGATCTCTTCCTCTCTTGTAACTACAGGAATAGGAGGCTCTCACGTCACACACAGTTCTGATTCCTACAAGTTCAGACATCCACTGTATTACTATATGAAGACCGATCTAGACGAAATGTTAGAGAGACCAGAGATGCAAGCCAGAACTGAGATGTAACAACATGATTTTTGGCGAGCTTTATCTCACCACCTGTTGTGGCGGTCTGGTGAAGTTCCTACTGACTGGAAAAGAGAAAAACATCACTCCTATCTTCAAAGAGGGGAAAAAAGGAGGATCCAGGGAACTACAGGTCAGTCAGTCTCACCTCTGTGCCTGGCAAGATCTTAGAGCAAAGGCACATGGAAAACAAGGAGGTGACTGGTTACAGCCAACATGGCTCCACCAAGGGCAGATTGTGCCTGACAGATACGGTGGCCTTCTATGATGGGGTCATGACCCTGGTGGATAGAGGACGGGCAACCGATGTCATCTACCTGGACTTAGGCAAAGTGTTTGACAATGCCCTGCATTCTTGTCTCTAAACAGGAGAGACATGCATTTGACGGATGAACTGCTCGATGGATAAAGAACTGGCTGGATTTTGGCATTTAGAGAGTGGTCAACAGCTCGATGTCTGAG